TTCTGCCACTGCAGCGTTTCCGATGCCCTACCAACACTGTCACAATTCCAATCACTGCCTCGTCTCATAACATGCTGACATTGTGATCGTTTTCTTATGCATTCTTTGGCCGATCGGTGCGGGCCCTCGCATCCCCCCTCCCCCCTCGAGTAGATGCTGACTGTTTTTGGCACCTGTTTCAAGCAGGTGGAATCTCCCCCACAGGACGCACTGCTGCAAACAGCCGCCTTAAGCAGAGGTCTGGAGCTGGACCCCCCCCCCTCCCATCCCCTTCCGCCCAATGTCGAACCGCCGAATATGACAACGATCACTGGATGCATGAGTTGTTGTTGTTTTGCCTTCTGGGAGATTCTCGGACGATTCTTGAGGGCGCTCTTGGGGACCAGTTTCGGTGTCTCGGGCCAGATGCGGCGCGGTGGTTCTACAGAGGAGCTCTTCCGAATATGCTCGGTTGACTCAGCTTGGGGGCGTCTGGGCGTGTCTCGGGGCCGTCTTGGGGCCTCGTTGGACGCGTCTGTGGTGTCCACTGGCTCTTGGAGCCTCTTGGGGTGCCTTGGAGTTTTTGTGGTGCCTTTGGGCTGGCCTGGGTTGGTCCGGGGGCATCTTGCAGCCGTCCTGGTTTTGTCTGTCGCCGTCTCGGAGCTATCCAGAGGCCGAGAACAGCACCAGAGAATAGCACTCTCGGGCGATCCCTGGAACCGCGAGGTGACGAGCGGGTCGCCCTACAAACTTGCCAGAAGTCTACCAGGCAGCTCACCAGCAGGCATTCAAACACGCCCCAACGCGCTGAGGATACAGTGGCGAATGTCTACTTGCATTGGGACCCGACTGGTTCCCAGGCGCGCTGTCATTAGTCTTCGCCCTTTGCGAACGTTGCCGTATGTTTTTGGAGGGCGATGGGGAATGGCGCAGCAGGACGACGATAAGGAATGTCAGGAGGAGGAGGAGGATGAGGAGAGGGAGGAGGAGGCTGAGGAGGAGGAGGATGTGGAATAAGAAGAAGAAGAAGACCAGCGCGAAGATTGGACGAGGTTCGTGTCTTTGGAGCCTGCAGCCCTATGCCGGTGGCCTCTCCTCCGGCAGCCCTCTCACCACATGGGCATCGAAAGACAGCGGGGGCGACTGCGCGCACATTCGCGCGTAAGCTTCCCTTGTGAGGTCGCGCAGGAGCGCCCTCTTCTCCACGCGGCGCGCCAGGCTGGCGGCCCGCGTACGACGCGGCGTAGGGCCGCTGTGCCATCGTGCTTGAGACCCGCTTCAGTTCGCCGCTCACGTGCGCGAGGGGCAGCGTCTCTCAGTGCGAGGGGAGCGGGCCCTCTGATCCTGCTCAGGTGGGCCCTCAGCGTCAGCGCTGAGCCTGCGGCTCCTCTGGGGTGTGTTCCTTCGAGCGCTCGCCAGCACTGCAGGCCCCTCCCGCTGCCAGGGCGCAGCCCTCCTGCAGGCTTCCCGGAGTCAGACTGGCGGAGCGAGGCGCAGAGCCAGCGCAAGGCGTGCTCGAGGGGGTCGTCTGGCGGAGGCGTAAGAGTTATGTCGGGCGTGTCCCCTACAGGGGGATTTTCGACGAAAAAATAGGAAAACCCACAAGTACCCCCAAAAGGTACCAAAATACGCTAAAAATAGCTTTTGGATTATTGTTCGCCTATTTTTGGGGTATCTTGTATTCTTCGTCGAAGATCCCCCTGTGGGGGGACAGGCCCGACATAGTGCAAGAGGTGGAGGGGCAGGGCCCCGCGATCCGACACGGCGAGCAGGCATGCAGCGCGGGGAAACGTCACGATCGGGAGCCCCGGACCCCACCCTCCAGCGGCAGTTCTCGAGCCGGGTCGGCCCGTGGTGGCCCCGGGGCCCGACACGCGGCGAACACACGCCCCGCGCAAGTGTGAGAAAGGTGCAGTGCCCAGATCTCGAGGAGGAGGAGGAGGAGGAGGAGGAGGAGGAGGAGGAGGAGGAGGAGGAGGAGGAGGAGGAGGAGGAGGAGGAGGGGAGGAGGAGGAGGAGGAGGAGGAGGAGGCGGCGAGGCTCGCACGAGGGTCCGCAGCGGCAGCAGCCGGCGGCATCGGCGCGGACAGCAGCCCGCGGCTCCTGCCCGGGGGTCCGCTGGGCGCCGCAGGTCGTGGTGATGACGTGCATCTCCTCGGGAAACATGAGGCTGGGCGCCCGAGGACAGGAGGAGGAGCAGGAGGAGGTGGAGGAGGAGCAGGAGGAGGGGGAGACGGAGGAGCAGGAGGAGGTGGAGGAGGAGCAGGAGGCGGGGGGGAGAAGGAGGGGAGGAGGAGGGAGGAGGGGAGGAGGAGGAGGGGAGGAGGAGGAGGAGGAGGAGGAGGAGGAGGAGGGTAGGAGGAGGAGGAGGAGGAGGAGGAGGAGGACTGGAAAGAGGGGGACTCACCGAGCGCGTTCCACTACTCGCAAAGTGCCTACTCGCAAACATCCGAAAACGCACATGCTTGCCTCGGCGTAGTGGATCGTGAGTCCACCGCGGGGGAGCCAGACCATTCGCGAGTAATTACTGTGCGAGTAGTGGAGCGCTCCTTGTCTATGGACGAGGGGGAGGATGGGGGAGGGGGTGATGCCTCTTCGTCCTCCTCTCCCGCTGCCGGGGCTCCTCATCCTTATCCCTCCTCCTCCACTCCTCCCCGCCCTCCCGCGTCCTCCTCCTTGATTTCCCTTTTTCATAGTCCCACCACGCACGTTGTGATCGTAATCCGAATGCTCCGCGTATTCCTTTTTCCATTGTCGTGCTTGGGAGGGCCAGGGCCAGGAGGAGGACGAACGAGAACAGCAGGGACAGGATGTGGGAAACGCCGATCAAGATTAGTAGGAGGCTGAGGCTGATGATGCCAGTGCTGGTGCTGGTGCTGATGTTGGTGCTGATGCGGATGCCGATGCTGCAGCTGCTGCTGCTGCAGCTGCTGCTGCTGAGTATCAACATGGGGATGGGGATTGAGCTGAAGAAGAGGATTCGGAGGATGCGGATGCTGCTAATGCCACTACTGATGATAACGATTGGGTGATGATGACGATGATGATGATGATGATGATGATGATGATGATGATGATGATGATGATGATGATGATGATGATGATGACGATAATGCTGACATGACGATGATGATGACGATGACGATGATGATGCTGATGATGATGCTGCTGATGATACTGATGATGCTGATGATGGTGATGCTGATATGTTGACGGCGATGGTGATGGCTATGGCGACGGTGATGGTGATGCTGATGATGGTGACGATGATGCTGCTGCTGCTGAGGATAATGATGATGTATATGATGCTGATGCTGATTGTGATGCTGATGGCTATGATGGTGGTGTTGTTAGTGATTGTGGTGGTGGTGCTGCTGCTGCGGCTGCTGCTACTGGATGATACTGCTGATCATGATGATGACGATGCTGCTGGGGAGGATGAATACGAATAGGAGGATGATGCTGCTCATGCCCCTGCTGCTGCTGATGATGACGATGATGCTGCTGCTGATGATGATGATGATGATGGTGGTGGTGGTGGTGATGATGTGGATGCGTATGCGATGCTGATGACATGACGATAGCGATGAGTGTGACAGTGAAGATGCCGATGCTGTAGCTTATGACAATGCTGGTGATGATGATGCTGATGATGATGTTGATGATGCTGTTGACGACGATGATGCTGATGCTGATGATGATGAATATGCTGATGATGCTGATGATGCTGCTGCTGATGCTGATGATGCTGCTGCTTACCAGGATGAGGTGATGACTTCGACGACCACGATGATACCGGTGATGATGATGATGATGATGCTGCTGCTGATGACGGTGATGCTGATGCTGCTGCTGCTGATGCTGATGCTGATGCTGATGCTGATGATGATACTGATGATGCTGATGATGCTGATGATGGTGATGGTGATGATGATGATGATGATGATGATGATGATGGTGATGATGATGGTGATGATGATGGTGATGATGATGATGATGATGATGATGATGATGATGATGATGATGATGATGATGATAATGATGATGATGACGCGTGCACTTGGGCGATGGTCATCATTCGTCTGCCTCTGGCGAGTAGACCAACCACACCAGTGGGAGCTGCGGTCCTCCCCCCTGGGGGACCCATCTGTGTCAACACCCCTCTCGAGAGATCGCCGGTACCATGGGCTCCCCCGGGGGATGAGGAGCTGCAGCTCCCTCAGTTGCTCATGCTTCGTCCCTTCCATCTTCTGTCCTCTCTGCCCTGTCTTCGCATGTTCCTCGCCCCCCTCCTGAAGTCTCCTCTCCTGCTCGTCGGCCTGCGCTCAGGGCAAGCTCGCAGCCCGGCGGCCTCCTCGCGAGGCCACGGCCTCTCCCGCTCCTCTCTCCGGGCGCATCGCAGAGCGCGCTGTGCGACATGCGGCGGCCCAGGTGGCCGCCCGAGCGACACTCCGATCCTGGCGCCCGCCCTTTTCCTGGTCGTCCCCCGCCCACGCTCCACGCGCTTCCGCCGCCCGTTTCCCTCAACCCCTGGCGGGGCGCGCACGAGGGAGTGGCGGCGGGGGGAGGGCGGCCTTCTGAGAAGGCCAATGGCCCGAGGACGTTCCCCAGAGGCCCAAGCCGAGGAAACGCCAGAGATCGTCGGATGTCCGGGGGACGCCCCCCTTCTAGGAGGTACCCCCCCCCGGCCCCTCCGCCTTCGCGGAAGGCCGCCCCCCCCCTCGCGCCACCAGCAAGCGGGAAAAACACGAGGAATCAACAAGACAACAGCACAACGCACGCTTGGTGCACTTCGATAGCGGGCTCTGCACATGAATGCCGCGATACTTGTCAGAAGCTCGGTCCAACATTTCTTCTCTTGCACGAGTGGCAGACTTGACGCACGCGCTGCGGCGCACCCCCCCCTTTCTGTGCGCACCGCCGAGTTTTCGCGCCTCCTCCTCCTCCTCCTCCCTGTTGCGTCGCCCGGCAGCCTGATCAACTCCAGCTTCCACCGGGTGCTGCTGGACGAGGCGGCGCAGGCTGCCAGACAGCGGGTGGGAGGGCGAGAGGATTTGTCAAGAGGCACGCCTGCAATGGGAGCCCGTCAGCGTGCTGCTCCGTCGCCGTTGTCCAGCAACATGGGGGCTTCTTCAAAAAGTGCCATTCTGATGGGTTCCTCACGGAGGCGTGTCATTGACTGCCTCTCCCCCCTCCACAAAACATGGCTTGGTGTGTGGGGGGTCGGAGAAGAGCGACTGCACAGGCTCATGTTGTTTCTCCCTCCATGAGACGAGGGCATCCATCATCACAGGTCGGGTGTTGCTAGAAGTGCCCTTGACCCAAGGTGCCCCCAGCTTGTCGCTCTATTTTGGAGCTCTGGGGCCCTCCGGGCCTCGTAAGGGGTGCTCTGGAGACCGTCTGTACCACCCCGATAATCCTGGTGGCATCTTGGGTCAGGGGCACTTCTAGCAACACCCGAACAATATGAGGGAGGAGGAAGGAGGTGGACTATACAGATCCACCTCGTTCCTCCCCCTCGCCCTTCCAGAAACGAGGATAACCATCAGAGGATGAGGGATGAGAGAGGAAGACGGAGGTGGACTATACAGATCCACCTCGTCCCTCCCCCTCCCTGCCTTCAGAAAAGGGGAAACCATCAGAGAAGGAGGGAGGAGAGAGAGGGACGGGCAACTTCTAGGGGGATAACGCTCAGGGGGGAACGAATCGACCCCCAATCGCTCATCGACCGCCGATAGGGGTGCTGATAGCCCACCCCGCCCAGAAACGTGCGGATTCGCTATCGGGGGCCTGTCGGCGATCCATCGCTGATGTATCGCCTAATCCAGGTGGATGTTTCCGCCCCCCTGAGCTGATCCCCGCCTGGGAGGAAAGGAAGGGAGAAGGGAGGGAGGAGGGAGGCGGGAGGAGAAGAGAGGAGGGAGGAGGGAGAGACGAGCATGAGGAGGGAGGGAGGGAGGGAGGGAGGAAGGGAGGAGGAGGAGGTGGCAGAGGAAAGAGGGATGATGAGGAGACGGAAGACGAGGAGGGTGAGGAGGGGGAGGAGCAGGAGGGGCGGAAGGAGGGAGGAGGAGGAGGAGGAGGGAGGAGGAGGGAGGAGGAGGGAGGAGGAGGAGGAGGAGGAGGAGGAGGAGGAGGAGGAGGAGGAGAGGCGGAGGAGGAGGAGGAGGAGGAGGAGGAGGAGAGGCGAGGCGAGGAGGAGAGAGGAGGCGGAGGAGGAGGAGGAAGAGGAGGAGGAGGAGGAGGAGGAGGATGGAGGAGGAGGAGGAGGAGAGGAGGAGGAGGAGGAGGAGGAGAGGGAGGAGGAGGTAAGAGGAGGGAGGAGGGAGGAGGGAGGAGGGAGAGAGGAGGGAGGAGGGAGGGGGGGGAGGCAGAGGGGGAGGGGGGATGGGGAGGAGAGAGGAGAGAGGAGAGAGGAGAGAGGAGAGAGGAGGGGGAGGGGAAGAGGGGGATGGCGGAGGGAGGGAGGGAGGGAGCGAGGAGAGAGAGAGAGGAGGGAGGAGGGAGAGGAGGAGGAGGGAGGAGGAGGAGTGAGGAGGAGGAGGGGAGGAGAGAGGAGGGAGAGGAGGGAGGGGGATTGAGGGAGGATGGAGCGGAGGCTGGGGAGAGGCGGAGCGAGGCGGATGGAGGCGGAGGAGGAAGGAGGAGGAGGGGAGGAGGAGGAGGAGGAGGAGGAGGAGGAGGAGGAGGAGGAGGAGGAGGAGGACGGAGGAGGAGGAGGAGGGAGGAGGAGGAGGAGGAGGGAGGAGGAGGGAGGAGGGAGGAGGAGGAGGGAGGAAGATGGAGGAGGCGGGAGGAGGAGGAAGACCGGTGGTGAAGGAGGCGTGGCCGGCCTGCTGGCGGTATCCCTGGGTGGCCCACCTCGCCGTGCCCTCGAAGAGGGCCTTGGCGCTGGCACGGGCAACGGGCAGCCCGAGCGTTCTGCTTGCGGCGTCGAGGGGGGTTAGCGATTCCCGCTCGTGTTCGGGATACTTCTCCTTGTGAACTGCCGCGGCAGCATCATCAAATCATCATCACATCATTCATCATCATAATCATCATCATCATCATCATCATCATTCATCATCATCATTCATCATCATCACCATCACCATCACCATCACCATCACCATCACCATCACCATCACCATCACCATCACCATCACCATCACCATCACCATCGTCATCGTCATCGTCATCATCATCATCATCATCAGCATCATCATCAATATCACCATCATCAGCCACATCATCACCATCATCATTAGCAGCATCGTCATTATCAGCATCAGCATCAGCATCAGCATCATCATCAGCGTCATCGTCATCATCAACAACCCCACCACCATCATCATCGCCATCATCATCCTCACCAGCGTCATCATCAGCACCTTCATCGTCATCAGTATCATTGTCATCTTCATCATAACCATCAGCATCACCATCTTCATGATCATCACCACCACCATAGACAATCCCATTTTCACCAGCATCATCATCTTCATCATCATTACCCGCATGATGATGACGATGCTGCTGATGATGCTACTGATGATGATGCTGATGACGATTGTGATGATGAGTAATGATGATGATGCTGATTAGGCTGCTGGTCATGATGAACGATCCATGATGTTCGTGTTCATGTTCTGCCATGTATTTTCTGCTCGTAGCCCCTATCCTGCTATTTTTTCTCGCGCTCCATCCTCCTCCCTCTCCCTTGCCCCTTCCTTCTATCCGTCTTCTCTTCCCCTGCTTTAGGGGCTGCACGAAATAAACGCTGCAGGCTAGAAACAGAAAGACCCCCAAGTGGGTACGATCGAAGACGAAGAGGGCGGGTATCGAGGGTTTGGGACATACGTGTTGAAGGACCTGCGAGCAGATAAGAGCGAACAGTCTTAACATGATTGTGGATGTTGCTGTTGATGCTGTGGTGGCTGTGGTGGTGGTTGTGATTGTTATTGTTGTTGCTGTTGCTGTTGAATTGTCACTTCTAGAGAGTAATGGTTGTTGATTCCTCCTCCCCGATAACCATGTTACGCTTGTTTCAGGGAGCTCTTTGGCCACTTGGAGCCGTCTTGGAGCGGTCTTGGGGCCTCTTGGAGCATCGTGGAAGCCATCTTGAGGCCTCTTGGTATATCTTGAGCCATCTTGGAGGTCATCTTCGGCTCTCCTAGGCGCTCGTGGAGTCATCTGAAGCAGTGCCCCCCCCCCCCCCCAGGAGGCCAACATGTGGCCAAAACCTTGGTAACATCAATGATTTTGGCATTGTCGCCGAGGCCTCTTGGAGCGTCTTGGGTGCCTCTGGGGGGCCTCTTGGGGCCTCTTGGGGGTCTCTTGGGAGCCTCTTGGGGGCATCCTGGGGGCCTCTTGGAAGCCTCTTGGGGCCTCCTGGCCACCTCTTGGGGCCCTCTTTGGGCACCCATGGGAGCCATGGGAGCGCTCGTGGGGCCATCTCGGAGGAGATCGATCAAAGAAGAGGGGTTCCTTAATCAGCGTCGCCCCCCCGAACAGGCTGGGGCTAAAATCATAGTAAAACAAATGATTTTGGCTTCCTCGCCGAGGCCGTTTTGGACGTTCCGGCACCTCGCGCCCCCCCCCCCCCCGTCCAAGTCCAGGGGAGGGGGTACGGGGATGGATCAAGACGCCCTCCCCGCCGCAAGCCGTCTCGCTCACTCCCACCCGCCCTCCCAACACATACGTAGCACCCGAGCCTGGCCCGAGCCGCAGCATATGCAGCAGTCGTCTTTGGATGGCCAGCTGCTGGGGGCCAATCCGTCGCCGCCGCCGCCGCCTCCGCCGCCGCCTCCGCCGCCCGCCGCCGCCGCTGGCGCCGCGCCGCCGCCGCCGCCGCCGCTGTCCGCTGCTGCCGCCGCCGCCGCGCTGCCGCCGCCGCCTCCGCCGCCGCCGCCGCGCCCCCGCTGCCAAATCGCCGCCGGCCGCAAGCCGCGCCTGCGCAGTCAACCGCGCCACCGATGCCGCCGCCACGCTGCCGCCGCCGCTCCGCGCCGCGCCGCCGCCGCCGCCCCCGCCGCCGCCGCCGCCACCGCAGCAGCCGCCGCAGCCGCCGCCCCCGCCGCAGCCGCCGCAGCCGCCGCCGCCAAGTGTACTCTGTTTGTTTTTTGACAGGGATGGTGGGGGGAGTCCGCATCGGGTTCGCTGCGCATGCTCCGACTTTGGAGACAGAATATGTTTTGTTTTGTTTTGTTTTTTGTATAAGGGATGGTGGGGGCAGAGTGTGTTTTGTATCTTTTAAATCCGGGATGGTGGGGGGGGCCCTCATGGACCTGGGTTGGCTCCCAGTCGCCTGGGGAGGGGGTGTCTATTACTACAGTGATAAACCCCTCCCCGAAGGGGAAGACAGGGGGTTGGAAGAGGAAACGCCCTAAACCACCTACGCCCAGAGGGCTGGTGGGATTCTGAATTCGAATTACGGGGGACTTTCCGTATTGTGGTAAGCTTCCGTCCCCAGGTTCCCCAAATGAGGGGTTCGAATTATTGGGAGATGTGGATTCATACGAAACACATTGTAGTGATTCCAGGCTTATTCAGAATTATGGGAAACTTGTGACCATTATGAGCAACTCCTTTGTGTTTGTAGTGATTCCAGGTTTCCCATGATTCCGAATTATGGGAAATATGAATTCGAATTAAGGCTTCCCATCATTCGAACCCGTCAGCGGCTTCTCCCCCCTGGTTTCACGAAGCTCTGAATCCGAATTACGGGGAACCTTCTGCATTGTTGGAAATTTCCGCCCCCTGGCTCCCCGAATGAAGGGGGGTTCTGATTATGGGAAACCTGTAATCAAGTTGAGCCGCATATTTTCTGTAGTGAATCTAGGTTTCCATTTTTCGAGTATGGGAATCCTGGACTTCGTATTATGGGAAACTTGGAATCACTACGATCCCCCTCCTTTTTGTAATGATTCCAGGTTTCCCGTCATACGAACCCCCAGCGGCTTCCCCCCCATGGTTTCCCGAAATTTTGAAGCCGAGTTACGTAGAACCTTCCGCATTGTGGTGATCTTCCGCCCCCCGGTTC